CAATAAACGATTTATTCGGTGATTTAGCATGAAACAACCGAAGAAAAAATATTCGATTGAGAGTTTCATTAATCGGATAATCGAATGGAAATTGGATATCACTAGATGGAACTCTAATGGCGGCGGTAGCGAACATATTGTTTGCCGCAATACGATAAAGTAATGCAACTTGGTACTTGCTTATAAGTTAAGTTGCACTTAGTAAAAATACATCATTCTCCTAAAGACGTATAGGATAGACAAATTAAAACAAACCTCTTGTTCCATAGGAAAATAGCAGTATTGTTGCTCTAAAAACAACTCGATCAATAGCTTAGAAAGATAGGTTAAGTTTAGTAAAAGAAGAAAGTTCATCTGGAACCTAATATATTGCTTGAGAAAGTATTTTCCAATGAAACCTACTGTTAAATTACTTCAACTCTCAAATGAAGCTGCATTTACTCGTCAATGGTCAACTTAAATTAGAAGGTTTCACAAAGTTCAATGTATCCTGAATTAAAATTAATGACCAACAATGTTACAGTAGCACACCCATCAATTCTCCAGATGCTTTTTATTTTTTTAAACTTTTTTTTTCATTTTCGCAGCATGGCAAAAGCATCATCCACAATAACAGTCTCGACAAACTTTCTACGGCTATCTTTGCTGTTGCAGCCAAATTCGTCTCTATAATACCATCATAAGACGAGGTGACATTCTCGACGTAGTCAGCAAGACAGAAAGTATAAAAACACCAAATTCGTCACCCATTCGATGCGATATCATATTGAGGCAGCTGGCCGAATTGGATCAACACAGCAGCAGTGTAGCGAAAGAAAATGTGAAATAATAAAAATTTGGTGGAGAAGATTGGACCATTGGATCCTAACAGAAGAGAGAAAAAAACTGCCCCAAAGCAAAACTGCGGTGGAGTTGCGAAAGGAAAACCGATAAGATTTTTATTAGTTGTCAAAGAAATTGATTTCCTGCCGTTTTCTTTGGCTAATATTTTGTCATTTTGTCCGACGAAAATGAAAAAGAGCTCTGCTGCATTTGGTTTTTTTTTTTTGCATGGTGGTAGAAACGGTGGGATGAACAGAGGAAGGATGAAACGAAAATCGGAAGTTTTAGTGATGTAAGTCAGGAGTATGGTGAAAAAGTGTAAACTGGAACAATGGCAGAAATATGTCATTTAAGTTTCCTGATATTAGATTTATTTTGTCAGTTGGCTTTCCAATTCAAGATTTCGAGCATACTAGAAATAAAAAAAAAATGGCTAGGAAGTCAAGCAATTTTTAGTTATTTTTGGGAAGCAGGACACTTATGCATGAGAATATTTGCGCTAAAATGTACGGCCACCGGTGGGATTTGAACCCACAAATCACGGAAGCTTTACCAATTTGACTACGGGTACCTGCAATGTATACACCTATGTTACGCTATCAAATGCAACACAAAACGTTTTACACACCCGTCTCTTGTTTATCATATGTGCCTGTACTGTTCTAGCTACTCAATATCATGCAACACGGCTTTTTCAAGGGACGTTCGACCTCGACCAACTTACTTGGATTTATAGACTATTCATTGAATGCAATGGATAATGGAAACCACGTAGAAGCTCTCTATATAGACTTTAGCAAGGCATTTGACCGCATTGACATACCAATGTTACTCTTTAAACTGCAAAACATTGGAATTAAGTCAGGGCTCCTGAAATGGCTTGAATCATATTTAACTAACCGCCAACAAATAATTAAATTCAACGGAAAGAAATCGAGCCCAATTCAAGTCACTTCAGGCGTCCCACAAGGCTCTCATTTGGGACCTCTCCTTTTTATTCTATACGTAAACGACATATCTTACATTCTCAAAAAACTTAAATTGCTTATTTATGCCGACGACATGAAGCTCTTTTTGGAAATAAGAAATGAAGAAGACATCAATATATTCCGGAATGAAATACACATATTCTACATATGGTGCAAAAAAAGTCTACTAGAATTGAATGTAAAAAAATGTAACTTAATATCATTTAGTAGAAAAAGAACAACTTCAAACATTTCAATTGCATTAGGAAATCAAACTGTAGACAAATGTGAAAGAGTTAGGGATTTAGGAATTATCTTAGACTCTAAGCTAACTTTCATAGACCATTACAATACAATTATTCACAGGGCAAATAACATGCTAGGCTTTATCAAGCGCTTTTGCTATAACTTTCAGGACCCTTACACAATTAAAACACTATATATTGCCTATGTGAGGTCAATACTGGAATATTGCAGCATTGTATGGTCTCCATTTTCAATCACGCACGAAGAAAGATTAGAATCAGTACAAAAACAATTTCTATTATACGCTCTTCGTAAATTAGGTTGGACTTCATTTCCTCTTCCATCATATGAAGCACGCTGCATGCTTATAAACATACAAACATTAAAAGAGCGTCGTGAATATGCAATGGTTTCGTTTGTAAACGATATCGTTTCGCAGCGCATTAACTCAGCAGAACTTTTATCAAAATTAAATTTCCATGCACCCACTTGGCAACTCCGAAATCGAAATTTATTTGCCATAAAACATCATCGCACAAATTATGCAAAATATGGGCCATTAAACCGCATGATGGCCTCTTACAATAAACACTGCGAAACCATTGACTTTACAATGTCTCGGCATAAACTAAAGCAATATTTTTATTCCATAAGAAATAACAACTCATAAAAGAAAAGACAAGAAAGCTGACACTACTTTTTTTTATATAAATATATATTTAAGAAAACAAAACTGTATTAGTTGTACTAGTCTACGTTGGTTGACGAAATAAATAAATAAATAAATAAATATCAGGCGTTGATGAACAAATACAGCAGTATTTCGTTAACATCACACATCCCTACATGGGTTTTGTCGGATCAGTGCCGTTTGTCCATCATCGGTAAATTACCAGTACCAGGTTCCTGTTCTGTATTTGATCAAATTATGGTCTTTGGAATAATTCCTGATCACCGGATTTTCTAACAAAATTTATTTGATTTGTTGAGCTTAAAGACAATTAAATCAATTTCAGTAAAATGGTGGGTTCATTAAAAAAATACTAAGTAACACATTTTTTAAAGTGAAATTTCATTTTTTTAGTATTAGTTTTCTGTAAACTAGCGATATTCAAAAAATCAAATCAATTTAGTTAGATATACTTGCAAGAAAATCGGGTGATCAGGAATTATTCCAAAGACCATCAGTTGATCAAATACAGAACAGGAAATAGAATATTAAGTTAACACATTAACAGAACTCAACCAAACTATGTACCAAAATATGTTTCGATTGAATTCATTTTTCCCGCTATTTACCGGTTATTTTTCGGTTCTCTGGTTTTCCCGGTTGGGTGGCCTCCCTACAGATTATTATTATTATTATTATTCTTCACCTACCGACTTTCTTGCAAGAATATCTTAGAGGAATGATTTGAGCTATTGAACAATATGAGATCTTCAGAATAATTACTTATCCACCAGAAGAGTGCTAATGAATGAATTGAAGGTCTTTGTGGACTTCAAAACATTCTTGTAAGCTTCAGAAGAGTTCAAAACAATTCACTTTAATTTTGTGTATTGCACATGTGTTTTGAAACTTTTTTTTTTTTAACTCAGCAAACATCATAAATAATCAATAATTTTCAAAGATGCAAACCTTTGAGAAGCTTGTCGAATTGTAAGAAAAATCGCATATAAGCAGAACTAACGAAATTTAAAAAAAAAAATAGTTTTGTATTGTGAATGTTATTAAATTTTTCTGAAGTTCACGAAGTTTTTGCAGGACTTTGCTAATGTTTGTATTTATTTCCTAAATTTCATTTTTCGTATTATGAAGTGTACAAAATGATAAAATAATGTATTATTGAATTATAAGAGACGGTGAGTGGCCCGTGCTCCCTCTTGCCCATTCGTAACACAGGTTCTTATGACATAATAGACGCGGATGATAGCCTCTTCATAGTAGAATGCAGAAGTAGCTAAGCTGCGCACTCCTCCATCTAAATAGCACCGCAGCTGAGCTGCGCGTGCAATGAAATAAAAGGGATATCAACTTATTACCACTACCTACTTCTCTCCCTTCCGCTCTCAGGATTCGCCGATTCGGTATCTTTTGTTGGGTGTTCTACTAAAATTACTTCTAAATCACGAATCACTCCGGCAGTCATGCAGTACCTACCTATTTTTTATGTTGTCAATTCTCGTTCTCTTCGGCCGACGCTATGCAGAGATAGTGAGAGAGCAAGAATTTCCGCCAAGCGGAGCTAGAAAAATATCGTCGGGAACGTATTTTTTGAAGCCCGCTGTGGCGTGGTAGCAATCAAGCCATCTTCAGAGAGCCGAGCGCACCCGAATACCCGAAGTCCGCTCCGTTACTCTCGCTCTCGCTCAAGTCTGAATACACCTTAATGAATAGTGTTCAGGCATGGTTCATAGTACATGGTTCAAATGGAAGAAATTGGACATATCTCGATAACTTTTTCAAAGGGACGTATCAGCTTTTGTAAACAATGCATTTGATCGTCGATTTGGCGTAACTGGTAGCTCGCCCACGCCTGCTAACACAACCATCAGATAAGGGAAATTTTCCCCTACCTGCTAGTGGTGTTAGTAAGCGTGTGCGAGCTACCAGGTACGCCAAATCGACGATTAAATGCATTGTTTACAAAAGCTTATACGTCCCTTTGAAAAAGTTATCGAGATATATTGAATTTGTTCGATATTTAGACCGAGCTGTTTTTTTTGACGTAAGACTACGTCTTTGTTTTCTCTATGGGGATACACGGAGAAGATTTTTAGCAAGTTGGAATAATATTTTGGATAGTCGTTTTTGAGTAGCGGTCCATAGTTACTTCAAAAGAAATTAGTTGTTCTCTCTAAAATAGTTTTACAGTTCAAAGAACAATATTCTATTTGTAAAACAACTGTACACTCATATCAACTATTCGATGGTAAAAATAACTATCCCTCCGTTCAATTCAATTGACAATATCTAAGTTAAAATAAAATCATAATTTCAACTGTTATGTATAGTTGAATGAGCCATGTAAATTTAGAGCGCCACAAAATGCTCGGGACGCTTATTTTCTTTCTTTCAACATGGCGTCGGACGATGATAATATTATGGAAGAGTTAATTGAAGTAGAAGTTTTGTTGGATCGGGATCTTATAGATTTGCTAAAATCATTTCAACTTTCGGATTTGGCTATTGAACAGTTTGTCAGTAAGTAGGAATATAAATATTCATCCCGTAGTATGGTTTTCGGATTACAATCTTTATTTTTAGCAAATGGCTACGATACCGCTTCATTGAAACTAATTGAACGAGAGGAAGTGGAGGCCTTGCTTCCGCAGCCATTACTAGCGGACAGAACAAAATCCATTGATGGACTGAATAAATGGCGAATATCTCAAGTAACTCTATTCATATGAACATTCTTACTTTTTCAATGGAATAATGTTTTCTTCAATAAATTACAGGGTCTACGGCCGGTCACACAACCTCTAAAAGCAAATAATCTGCCCAATAATTCAGCAACAAACGAATCGTCTTTGAGAACTCCACTGGGAGTACGATTGAGAGATCAATGGACGTCCCAGAAACTAATCTGCCGGTCCAAAAAAGGAAAACAAATATTGGAGAACTTCAAAACCACTAACATTCTGCCCAAAAAGGATCGGATTCTCATCACTCATCTCATTGTCGATGAATTTGCTGACGAATTTGGCAAGCTAACCCGAGAAGAGCTTGTTAGAAGATCAGCGGAGTTAGCAGTTTTATTTCCGACAATCGAGCAGGTATTATTCCCGCATAACTTTTCAAATAGTCCGATCTACATTGATCGATTCTCTTCATCGACTTTCTCTCTTTCGTTAAAAACACAACTCCAAAAACATGTTCTTTCTGTTGCTATTCTTATCGTCTAATATGTTCGATAATACTTTCTTTTAACAGATTGTATAGCAAATTTAGCTCGAAGTATGATTGCATCCGAGTTATTACCGAAAGAGAGAGCTGATGAATAGAATCGATCAATTTAGATAGGACTTATTGAATGGTGACGCGAAAATTCTTGTTTTTTTCTTCTTTATTCCATTAAAACTCTGACATATAATCGATGCCAGTTTGCTGTCTCCCTCTTTATGCAAAAAAAAAGTTCACGTAATGTGCGAAAAATGCCTATCTACAATCATCGATTTTCTCTTTACCTATCTCGACAACATAAACTAATTTCTGACAATATATGCAGCATAGGTAAGGTGAGCTGCTTTTATCTGAGATGCAAAAAATGAACTCGATAGATGATGCGTTTGTATCCATTAGACTGATGCAAAATTTGAAATGTTTGCTCCAAATGTTTGCGGGAAACTGCATACTTTGTAAGCCTTTTTTTATTTAATTTATCTTTGAGTGTAGTATCCATGTTATCACAATTGGTGAGGATAATCAATCGTGAAAGATAGGCCATTTTATCATGTTACGCGAGAAATGCGAATCAGATGTAAAAGTCATAAAAGCTGAACAGTTACTGTCAACACAATGTTTTTGTTTACTTTGGCAGAACATTTGGTACCAACCTTCGTTTTACCGTGACGCAAGTGGCAAGAAAATAAAAACGGGCCGTGTTGCAAAAGGTTGTTTATACGACCGAAATAACAATTATCAGGCGGGAGGCTACAGAACCAAGCAGGCACCGGAGTCCGTTAAAAACGAAAATTCAGATCAACAGCTGGATATTACCATCACTGAAGACGCAGGTAAATAGATTGTTTTGAAACTATATGATCATCGGAGTTCAAATTTTCTTGTTATTACAGTAACTGCATACGATGAAACCAAGAGATGGTTTAAACATCATCACGATGAATGGGAAGAAGTTAAGAAGCGCTGGGAATCAACAAGCGTAGTTCGTTTGCATGAAATAGGTAAACAGAAGCCTACGTCGTTGCAGTGTATTTTTGAAGAGTATCCTGTGCTCCGAACTAGTGAAGGCTACCAGCTGGTAAAAGTAGATTTCAACCAGAAACATCCCGAGAAAGCTGATCTACTGTTCAACCGTTTTGGAGACTTTCGCAATCGTGCACAAGTTGTTTTCAAAAGTGAAGTATCTCCACAATGCAAGCCTCTATGCGACTTTTTGCAAGAAGATTTGTCCGATGGTAAGATGTTGTTTTGTTTTCAAAATTTCCTTTGTATAAGCTAATTAAGTTTATTGTTTACTATTTCTCTAATAGATTCTCGTGACTGTATCACAACGCTGCTCATCTTCTACATTTGGCCGAGCACGTTTATGCGTCTTCCGAATGGAACGAAGTGGAAGCCATCACTCCGGGAAGTCTGTGATAGCACCATAATCTTCTTGAATTCGTTGACCGAGTACGAGACGGAGCTTACCCGACTTAGCAAGCAAAATAAAAAGAGAGGACTGCCGGATTATCCCGTTGTTGTAGTGGTCGGCGAAGGTATCACTATTGCCAACCAGTTTTTGGTTTGTTTCAAGGATATTTCCTACAAAGCAGAAACCTTCCTGAAAGCTGTGGACATCACTTTCAAAATATACAAAGCTTATGGAATAAATTTTCCATTGGAAGCAACGGGGCCTTGGCAGTTTATTGCGAGTTATATATACGATTTTGAACTTCCGGAAGATCGTCATAAGGCCAGAATCCTAACACTTATGTCAACCCTTCGTAATCAACTAACTTCAGAATGATTGCATGTTTTATTCCCGGCTGCAGATGGAAGACGACGTGCCCAACACTCTTCGGGCTGCATCTACGACGACTCCATGAGCCGATTGACGTTTATACCTGCTCGGAACCAAATTGCGGAAGAAGATTTAGTGTGAGATGTTCGTTTATTGCTCACATTAAGAAACATGCAAGAAATGATTTAGTTGACGTTGAAAGTAGAATAGGTAGAGAACAAAATACGACTGCAAGTGAACTGTGTTTAATAGATGGAAGAGCAAAAAACGATTATTTTGATTCTAATGATTGTACTACGAAGAAAGAAGAAACGACTAGTACCAAACAAAACGAGACAGACAATCATATCCAACCGAAAGAACTTATAAACATTGAAAAATTGTCGCAAGAATTCACACGTTTGAGCATAGGGTTCAACCTAAAATGGTTGAATAAAAGTTCTGTTCCTCGCAAACTGGTTTTTGAATTTCAAGAAGATGTTCGTACCAATATTTTAAAGCCAATTCAGGAAGTTGTAGAAATAATAGCTGACTCGGGACTTATTTCCACATCAGGCAAAAATGCACTAGGTTCAATATTTTCAATGTTTTCCAATACACAATCAGAGTATCAATTTGTACGTCAATTGAAATCCATGAAACTGTATGAAGATCCCGTATATTTCACTATATGTAATGAATTAAGGCCAGGAGTAATCCATCATAAACTTGATATGATCGTAGATGATATTAAAGGTGTCTTGATGCCGATCAGGTTTCAATTGAAAAAATGCTTAGAATCTGCAGGAATGATGAATGCTATAATCGATTGCTTAAAACCCTCAAATGACGGAGTTATCAGATCATTGATAGATGGTAAAATATGGCAAGAAAAAGTAAGGGGCTCGAATGACAAATTGGTTATTCCTATCAACATATTCATAGATGATTTTACAACAAGTGATACAGTGTCCCCACACGCTAGCAGTACCAAAATTAGTGGCATTTACTACTACATTCCTTGTTTGCCACCCTACGTGCTTTCAAAGCTTCATAATATTCACATAGCTGGATTTTTCATGTCGGAAGATCGAAAACGCTTTGGGAACAATCAAATTTTGTATAAATTAGTTGAAATATTCACGGATTTAGAATTAAATGGTTTAAATATCATGTATGAGGGACAAGAAATTAATGTATATTTTATGATCGGTTTCGTCACTGGTGATAATCTAGGCCTCAGTGAAACTCTCAGATTAGTAGAGTCACCTGCAGCAAATTTCTATTGTCGCGTTTGCAAAAGGACAAAATCTGAAAGGGAAAAAGATTGTAAAGAGTTCATAGAATCTCTGAGGTCGAAAGAAGAGTACGATGACGATGTTCGTTTGGATGATGTGTCAAGAACTGGTATAAAAGGAAATTGTATACTTAATGATGTGCCATCGTTCCACGTATCTCGCAATATCTATTTTGATATAATGCATGATGTCTCAGAGGGCATATGTCTATACGGATTATCACACTGTCTAAAATATTTTGTATACAAGAAGAAATACTTTACTTTAGACGATCTGAACTGCCGTAAAAATTTGTTTATTTACGGTCACTTGAACTCAGCAAATATTCCAAACGACATCAAAGATACTAATCTTGCTAAGCAGAAAGTTAAAATGACTGCAAATGAAATTAATACTTTGACACGTTTTTTGCCTTTAATGATTGGAAGTATGGTTCCACGTGATGATCCAGTATGGCAATATTTATGTAGCCTTCTGAAAATATATGATATAGTCATGCTGCATGATATTCCACTTGAGCTTATAGAAGAGTTTAGGAAATTAGTTGAATTTCATCACTATAAATATGTTTACTTATTTCAAGATTCACTTAAACCAAAACATCATAACATCGTGCATTATGCAACTGCTGTAACGATGTCAGGTAGTCTCCGAAGGCAATGGGGTATGAGATGTGAGGCAAAGCATAAAGAGGCTAAACAATATTGCAGGGTAAATTACAATAAGCGGAATATCTGTTCGTCTCTAATTACTAAATTTAGTTTTAAATATGCGTTTGATGTGTTCAATAATCAATTTATTACTCCATTCATTGATATTAAGAAAGAGAACACATTCTGTAGTGAGCTTTCAGACATTTTAAACCCGTTGGTAAATTCGATAACATGTGCAGGTACAAAATCCATTAAATTCGTATCGCAATTCACTAAGCAAGGTTCACTATATCAGAAAGGGACAATATTTTTCATTAGTCAGAAATTGATCAGGAACGTCTATGAAATTGAGTCAATGATTTTAATCAATGATAAAAATATTGTTTTGCTGTGTTATCCCTTCAATTCAACAACATTTGATGAGCATTTGCAATCATTTCAGCTCAAACGAGATGATAGGGTTAAGATTATATCGAACGTAGAAAAATTTGATTCAAAACCAATCAATATCCACTATGTAAAAGAACAAATGTACTTGAGAATATGTAACTTTGTGAACATAAATACTATTATTTCGGAAACGGTTATCGAATAAAAATAAGTGTAAAAGATAAAATATTATTTTATTAAGAGAAACATTATTTGAAGTAAATGACTGGTTTTTCAAAAGAACTGTTAAATGTAATGTTGAATCAAACTAAAATATAGTTGATTCTGCTGACTGAACAGATGAGTTGTCAGAATTTGCAATCAAAATATTAGTCCGTCCAACATAAATATAGTTAAGTCAATAATATTGTGTACTTAATTCAACAAAATATATGAAGTTGATTCAACTATCCTGTATAGTTGCTGTAACTATAGTATTTTTAAAATAAACATTTTTTGAGTTATCTCTAAATCAATTAGAAAATATAGTTGTTTTAAATGGAAATATTTTTAAGTTGAGCATGATTTCTTCTCCGTGTACACTTTGTGAAAACCGAAAATGGAACATGTAACAAATTAAGAAAGATTTTGAACGTTAATAACTCTGCTGCTCCTGGTCCATTTTCAATAATTTTATCACCAATCGATCAGAAATATGGCTACGCATCGATAACAATGCTTTTGAATGTTGATTTTCAACAAGAAACTATTGAAAAACCGGTAAATGTCCAGCTTTGTCCAAAAGCGTCGAATTAGCTAACAAATGCACCAATTACCTACATGCATATGCTGCTTCCCCAGCACAGTCGTCAGAGAGTAGTAAGTAGACGAAACAAGTCGAAGTGGCATTCGCCTCCGATCCTCGGGCGCGTGCGAATAGGGAGGATGGAATTGCGTAATATTTTGCACTCATCGCCATATTCAGAACCAAACGCAAATTCTTCAAGATAACCACCATCCGTCGTTTGGCTCGCCGTGGCGGTGTCTGACGTATCTCCGGTTTACGAGGTGTGCTGAAGTTGTTCCTGAAAAATAAGATTCGTGATGCTGTCACCTACACTAAACACGCCAAGCGTAAGCGGCCATGGATGTCATCTACGTTTTGAAGTGACAGAGACGCACTCTGTTTGGTTTCGGAGGTTAAATCAGCACCAACTTTGGCAACAAAACGGCTCTTTTCAGGGCCACCAAGCTTATTACAGTAAAGAGTAGGAATAGAATTCATCTGCCTGTTTGTCCATATTCAGAACCAACGACCACACAAAATGCTCATGTAATCAAACTGGAAGCAGGGGTACAAATTATTTTGATCAATCTTGATCAACTTTGAATCGCCACGGCCGGATATTTTCGATGGAAGAAGCAACAATCTAGCATCTAATTCGACGAAGACGGAAGGAAACATTTGTGAAGCCGAGTTATTTACGAAAGAGAGTGTCGATGAAGAGAATCGATCAATGTAGATAGGACCTATTGAAAAATGACACGAGATTTAATTTCAATACTGAGCACCAATGCTACCGACGCCAGGGAGGCAGCTCCCACACCTGGACCCTACCAATCGACCCATCAACTCAAGCGTGATCAGAGATGTTATGCCTTAGAACATGCCGGTGGCGCCGACTGAGATTGGACCCAGGCCTGCTAGGGTGAGAGGTAATCACGCTAACCACCGGCGCCGATATCTTTCAAGGTGATATCACGGCGAATGAGAACGACCCAAATTTGAGTTTAGTTATCTCAGAAATAATAAATAAAGTGCAGGAACTTAGCGATGATTAAATTTGCCTCATGTTTTCCCAGGTTTTTACAGGATTTTCCAGGGAAAAATTCCCGAATTTGAGAAAAGTAAAGAATGGATTCACTCAGTCTATTGGTACTACTCCGAGACTGAATAAATGTTTTGTCAATTTCTTCATTTTCTGGTAGATGTTTTAGGTTTTCAACAGGAAACCATGAGACAAATTTACTCATTACTGAGTTCCTGCACTTTTGGCGATTATGAGTGAACTAAACTCAAATTTGGGTCGTTCTCATTCGCCGTGTACGCAAAAAGAAAAGAGCCAGTGTCGCTACTTGATAGCAAACTACTCATAATGGGAGGAGTCTTTGTAGCTTTTATACCACTTTGTTGCACATCGTTCTGCTTTAACCTGAAAAGATATAAAAGAGCGCTGCTGTATGGCATTAGCTCACTTTCGTTTAGGACGGCATGGTGAACAGCAATAGCAGCAGTAGGAAGGTGGTGGCTAGTCCACTCCTTCACACCTAACAAGCAACAATTAACCACTTCATTCGAGCAGTTTAAATGACGTTTACTACCACTCGAACTTTGAAATAAAACATTATTTTGAGATTTTTTCTTCTAGAACCAAGAGAAAAGTAGCCAACATTTGGGCGTTTCATAAAAAAATAGAATTTAGTTGGTCTAGCTTTGTGAAATCGCTGGTAGAAAGTCACGCCAAAACTGCTTGACAAAGTGGTCAATTGACTGGTCGTGGCAAAGGAGGAAAAGGTATGGTAAAGGAGGTGCCAAGCGTCATCGCAAAGTTCTTCGAGATAACCGCCATCGGTCGTCTTGCTCGCCGTGGTGGTGTCAAACGTATCTCCGGTCTGATCGACGAAGTGTGCTGAAGGTGTTCCTGGAAAATGAGGTCCTTGATGCTGTCACCTACACTAAACACGCCAAGCGTAAGTGGCCATGGATGTCCTCTTCAATAAAACGGCCCTTTTCAGGGCCATCAAGCTTACATCAGTAAAGAGTTGGAATAGAATTTATCTGTGCTTGTTTGTCCATATTCAGAACCACAAGCCCCCAACGACCACACAAAATGCTCTTCAGAGTTGTAATCTTGTAACCAAACTTGGAAGCAGGGGTGCAAGTGATTTTGATTGATTCTCTTAATCAACTTTCTCTTTGAAAAAGATTACTACAAATTTGGTACGCCTACAATTCAAAAACGGAAAGA